GGTGGAAGAGGGCATAGTTCTTGGGCATAAAATTTCAAATCATGGCATAGAGGTGGACAAAGAAAAAATTGATATGATTTCAAGGCTCCCTCCCCCTACTTCTGTCAAGGGAGTGAGAAGTTTTCTTGGGCATGCAGGGTTCTACCAGAGATTTATCAAAGACTCTTAGAAGGTAGTGAACCCCTTATGCAAGTTATTAGAAAAAGATGTCAAGTTCTTGTTCGATGAGAGATGTATGCAAGCCTTTGAACTTCTCAAGCACAAGTTGACCACTACTCCTATTATTACCGCACCCAATTGGAGCTTGCCTTTTGAGATCATGTGTGATGCGAGCGATGTTGCGGTTGGGGCGATTTTGGGTCAAAGAGTGAATACAATGTTTTATCTGGTGTACTATGCGAGCAAGACAATGAATGATACTCAAGTGAACTACACGGTGACTGAGAAAGAGCTTTTGGCTATTATGTTCGCGATGGAGAAATTTCGGTCATATCTCATGGGTGCCAAGGTCATAGTTCATATCGATCATACCGCACGCCGGTACTTGATGATGAAGAAGGATTCCAAAGCTAGACTGATGCGATGGGTCTTGTTACTTTAAGAGTTTGATTTGGAGATTGTGGACCGGAAGGGTAGTGAAAACCAAGTGGCGAACCACTTGTCCCGCTTGGAGGAGGAGGGGATGCCTCGTGATGGCCTAGAGATCAATGATTCATTTCCCGACAAACAACTCCTTTCAGTGTCGGTGTATGGTATGCCATGATTTGCGGATGTTGCTAATTTTCTTGTGACTGGTATAATCCCGTGTGAGCTCTCTTCTAACTAAAGGAAGAAGCTCAAACGTGATAGTTTGGATTTCTATTAGGATGAGCCGTACTTGTTCAAGATTTGCACGGATGGTATGATCCGAAGGTATGTCCCAAAGGAAGAGCAATTGAGTATCTTTGAGGCTTGTCATTCCTCGCCCTATGGTGGCCATCATGGCGGGTGAGGACGGCTTCAAAAGATCTTAGTTGTGGTTTTATTGGCCAACTTTGTACAAAGATGCAAGTGAACTTGTAAAGAGATGTGACGAATGTCAAAGAGCGGGTGAGATTTCGAAGAAAGATGAGATGCCTCTCAATACCATTCTTGAAGTTGATATTTTTGATGTATGGGGCATTGATTTTATGGGCCCATTTGTTAGCTCGTGTGGGAACACATACATTCTTGTAGCGGTTGACTATGTTTCAAAGTGGGTTGAAGCCGTGGCTTTACCCAACAATGAGGCCTGAAGTGTTGTTGTGTTTCTTAAGAAGAGCATTTTTACAAGGTTTAGCACTCCTCGTGCAATCATAAGTGATGGGGGTCTCATTTTTGTAATAGAGCTTTTGACACTTTGCTTGCAAAGTATGGTGTCAATCACAAAGTTTCTACTCCTTATCATCCTCAAGCGAGTGGCCAAGTTGAAGTCTCAAACAGGGAAATCAAGAGTATATTGTCAAAGACGGTCAATGCAAATAGGACCGATTGGTCAAAGATGTTGGATGATGCTCTATGGGCTTATAGGACTACTTACAAGACTCTGATTGGTATGTCTCTGTATCGGTTGGTGTTTGGTAAAGCTTGCCATCTACCGGTTGAGTTAGAGAACAAGGCCATTGGGCTTTGAGGAACCTGAATCTTGAATGGGATGTGGCAGCAAATCTTCGTGTGGAGCAGCATAATGAAATTGATGAATTCCGATTCCATGCCTACTCCAGTTCATCCTTGTACAAGGACAAGATGAAGTACCTTCATGATAAATATGTTTGTGGTAAGGAGTTCAAAGTGGGTGATTTGGTTCTCTTATTCAATTCTCGGTTACGTCTATTTCCGGGAAAGCTTAAGTCGAAATGGAGTGGACCTTTTGAAGTGGTGTTTGTGAATCCATTTGGTGCACTTGACTTGAAGAACAAAAATGGGGAGATTTTCAGAGTTAATGGACACAGGGTCAAGCACTACCTGGGCAAGATTGATGACAGCCACATGGTGACACTGCTCCATTTAAAGTGATTTGTTGGTAACTTGCATTGTGTCGCGACGTTAAATCAGGCTCTTCTTGAGAGGCAACCCATGTGTCTTTCTTTTTGTTTTTCTTTTATTTTATTTGTAGTATTGGATTTGCTTTCGGACTAACTGGCTGTGAGATGTTGTAGGATTGTTTTGATGCAGTGCAGGACTAAGTTGGAAAATATGCACACTCTCTGAAGTTTGTACTGCGGACGCATTGTATTTTGTGCCGCCGCAAAGTCCTTAATGCAGGAGCAACAATTCAATGCAGACCGCAGAGTTAATTAGTCAAAAATGAGGAGTCTCTGAAGTTCGCCACCGCAGCCGCAGTGCATTTTGTGTGGTCCGTGGTGGACCATTGCGGCCGCATTGCATTTCTTGCGGTCCGTAGTGGACATCTCCCAGTGCCTCTTGATTCTGAGTACCGCGGACTGTCGTGCCATTTTGTGCAGTCCGCGGTGGGTAGATTAAGTGGGCCCCATGTCTTTTTTCTATAAATAGGGCCTGAGGGCTTCATTTTGAACTTCTCACTCTTTTGTGCACTAAATAGAAAAAAATCACTGTTCATCACTCATACCTGCTTGAATTCAACTGCTAAGTCTCATTAATCTACATTGCATCCCACTTCTAGTAATTTTAATTTTTTCTTAGTTGTTTAACTTTGTTATTTTCTTTTAACTTTTATTTTTCTTAGTTTTTCTTCTTTTTCTTCCCATTTTCTTTCAATTTTATATCGTAAGGTTGTTTAATCATGCTGGGATTAGTGTTAATTAGTGACTACTAATGATTAAACACTTGGGGAATTAATGATATATGATTTTACGCATAAATGGAGAAAAAATTTGAAAACCTAGGTTGGTATTACTATTCCTGGCTTACCGCGTCCGCGATGGTATTTTTTGCGGTCCGCGGTGCTTCTTCGCGGTCCACAATACCATTTTGTGCGGACCGCAATGGTATAACTTCAGAAAGTGGTGAGTTGAGGACCGCGGCTACGGTGGATTTTGTGCGGTCCGCGGTGCCTCAATACGGACCGCAATACCATTTTGTGTGGTCTTTGGAGGCCTTTATCAGAGAATGGATAGTCTGACCCCCACCTCAGTATGGACTGCGGTGCATTTTGTGCGGTCCGCGGTAGCTTCTTTGCAGCCGCACTTCATTTTGTGCGGTCCGTGGTCTGCTTTTCATTTTCAACTGCTTGCAATCTTATTCTGCACTGCTTCATCTAATACTGGGATACTAATAAGAACAGAATGCATTCTCCTTGCAGATAATGATGAAATCACGAGGCAGAGGCGATAAACAGACAGGGAAAGGAGAGTCCTCCCGGGGTAGGGGACGAGGCATGATTAGATTGACCCCACAAGCCCGACAAGCTATCAAGGACACCAGGAGAATCATAAGGGCTGCTGATAGAGCTGCTTCCCACTCAGGAAGTGAGTATATGCCCTTCCGGGAGGCATTCGACTCCGTGTCAGAATATGTTCCTGACTGGCCGGAGAGGCCTAGATTGAGGGATTCACCTCCGGGCACCCTTACTGCCCAAGCATTAGTGCACATTTCTTCTGAGTCGTCCAAGGGCTCAGCTATGGGCAGTGACAATGCATATTCTACCTCACCTACAACTTTACTATCCGGTGAGGATCCTGTATAAGAAGAAGGAGGGGGTGAGCCCCAAGTAGGAGGGGTGGATAGAACCAGGAACCTGGAGGCATGGCAAGACAGGTTTGTGAGTGAAGTGGCCTACCACAAGTTTAGAGAATGGTGGCCCGATAGGAAGTTAATACCTGAGCGGAAATTCATCACAAAGGACCTTTTGCCTTATAACCCCAATGTGCTGAGGCAGTTCAGAGAAAGAGTAGGATGAGACTATTTCATAGGCCACGTGAAGGATACAAATGAGTACTTAGTGAAGGAGTTTTACACAAATGTTGCCCACATCAAAAAGGGCACCACAGTGACCAAGGTGCAAAATTTGAAAGTAAAATTTGATGGAAAAACGATCAATGACTACCTAGGCTTCCCGGAAGAGGATGAAGCATTGTACTTAGAAAAGGTGGCATTGGGTGAGGCTACTCGTCCTTAGTTAGCAGAGTACTTGGAAATCCCAGGTACCACCCCAGCTTGGTTGACCACAGGAGTGAAAATTCTAAGGAGGACTGATCGCTGCCGACTCGACACTACGCTGTGGTAGGAAGAGCGGGTCGCAATAGCTTTTACCCGAATAGAGGTCCGGGATCGAATTTCCACAGGGAGCTAGTCGTGGAGTTGTATTTTCTGTTTAGCCTAGAGTTGCGGTTGTGCTTCTAATGTCACTTCAAACATTTTTGGGTTTTTGATTTATAACTATTTTTATAAGACTATTGATTAACACTAAATTATACTACAAGAATATTGCTAAGTTGTATCTAATGGGAAGAAGGGCACTAGGGTCGTGACACTACCTAGGTGGCTAATTGACGGGTAGATGTTACTTAGGTTCGATTGACATATTTGGGGCTTATGCTATAACCGTTGCACAATCTTACCCACTCTCACACCTCTCGGTAGAGAGAGTGATTTTTTTCCCCAATTGACTCCCTCGAGGCCAATTGGGTAGGCAAATTAGACCAAGCAACTGGGGTTCAAGTAGAGTGATTACTCTCTCGAGATTTAACCTATTAATTGAGACTATCATTTCTCATGAATCCATCCCAATTCCTTATTGGGTCAATTTTGGGGTCATAGACTCTTTTTCTCAAGAAGAGTTAAACCCACAAAGCTTGAATCAGTGTTTGCAACCACCAATTCTAAATTAAATCATAAATTCAACCCAAATAACAAACATTCATAGTCAATATAATCTTAGATGGCAACACCCATCAATTACCCACACTAGGGTTGAGCCACAACCCTTGATTATGGGTTTAGCCACTCATGCTAGCTACAGAAATTGAAGAAATAGATGAAGAACTTAACATATTAATTAATTACTAAGAAGAAACTACAGTAATCTATATTTAATGGAAAGCAAAATATGCCAAAAATGGCTACAACACCAACTGCAGCTTTTGTCTCTAGTTCCTAGATAAATCGATGCCTAAAAAATTAGTAAAATGTTCTATTTATACTAGGTTAGAAAAACTGGAAAAAAATACCCCTACGGGGTCAGTGCGGGCTGCACAAAATAGACCGCGGCCGCATTGGCTCTTGAACTTCAACTGTTTGATGACTTGAGTTGGGGGACGCGGACCGCGTGGCAGTGTACCGCGGCCACGATGGCAACTGGCGCGGTCCGCACAGTCGTGACCGCGGACCGTGTGATCAAAAATGCCCTTCCCTGAACCTTATGAACGCGGACCGCACAGTGCAGGACTGCGGCCGCGAAGCTCCACCGTGGACCGCGAAGATCCTACCGCGGTCGCATGCCTTTTAGCTTGAATATGTCAAGTCTTTGAACCTCCTAGTGCGGCCGCGGTCACTGTTGTGCGGTCCGCACTAGGCCCTTTATTCTTCAATTCTCTTGGTCTTTGGTACTTCAGCAGGTTTCACTCCTTTTTGAGTCGATCTTTGACATTTTGTCACTTTGTCGATCAAACCTGAAATCAAGCATAACTTATCAGCATTTAGGAACTAATTTGTAGCAATTTATATTAAAAGAATAGGCAAGCAGGGGCAATAACACGTTAAAATCCTAACTTATCAAGGACCCTGAACTTCGAAGCAAAAGGGTGGGAGACATTTGTTTGTAGTAGGATAAACCCCACCACTCACGACAACTCTCTTCCTATCTCCCGAGCTATATTGGTGGTATCTATCATGGTGGGGTACCCGATCAATATCGGGAATGTGATGTCCAGGGTGATTACACGGGTGGTGAATGAAGGTGATAGATCCTACCCCTTCCCAAATTTCCTGACCATGTATTTTGAGGATCTAGATGTGGAGAAGAGAAGATTTGATGTGAAAGTGAAAGCCAATGCATTTTCTCCTGACAACCCCAAGGACCCTAAAGGCAAAGCCACTACTTCAACTGGCCAGTCTGAAGAGCTAGAAGTAGTAGTAGTGGCTCCTACTCAGCCTTTTTCAGCCATACCAGACATGGCCCCAGGACCCTCTACTTCTACAGTTCTAGATCCCCTCATCTACAGTATATCCTTTGACTGCCTACCGCCAAAGCTAGACCCTTGCCAGTATCAACAAGTGGATGCAGGCAACCACTTCTAAGTTGTCTGTACTTTCTACTTCGGTGGCAACCTAGTTCACACCTCCTCAGCCACGGATCCCACAATCAATGGAGGACACTCTCAAGGAGCTTCTCGAGAACTAGAAGAAGCTCTTAGAGAACCAACAATTAATATTGGATGTTGTGGGTTCACACGGAAAAGCATTGAAGGATTTGGCCAAAGAAGCAAAGAAACTGAGGAAGACTCGGGCATCCAAGGAGTCGGTGAAAGAGTTGAGAGTGGAGGTAGAGAGGTTGAAGGTGGATCACTTGCCTTTAGACCTTATATTGCATGACCTGGCTCCAGCTACCCAGCCTGAGCCGGAGCAGGAGACAGAGAGGCCATCCAAGAGGAAGAGGGTGATTCCCCGTACGGATGATGTTGTTATACAGTTGGAGGACCCGCAGGGAGGCTCCTCTAGCCACCCCTAGATTCCAGTACAGGCCCAGGTCCTAGTGGAGACACAGGTTTCAGGGAGCCAGTCACAGGTTTCAGAGCAGTCCGAGGACCTAGGGACCCAGACTCAGGATCCTATGCAGACGGAAAGCCAATAGAGAGTTTCTTTTTCCTATCTATTTTTTGTGCTTATTTTGGTTAGTTAGCATTGAGGACAATACTAGCTTTCATTCGAGGGGGTAGCTCTATTTGGATGACTGTATATATGACATTACCCTTTTCTTTATGCTTTCTTTTTACTTTTGGTATATATATAATTTTATCATTTTATTGCACCTTTCGCACTTTTTACTTTTGGTCTGTATATAAAGTTACGTTCTAATGTATATACTCATTCTCCCTTATGTATATTCGACTAAATCCCCTCTTGTATATATTTATTTTACTTTCCACATTTTTCCTTTCATAGCTTCTTATTTTATTTTCGTAGCTTCTCGTTTTGAGTTTTTGCGTGCAATAAGACTTTGGTTTTCTTAATTCCATGGTTCTTTCCAAAGGTGGAATTTGTGTGAACCGGGTGGCTCTTCCCGATGATGGATGGCATGACAACCTTTTTAAGGGTTTGAGTCTGTTTTCTTTTTGCTTTTTATGTAAATAGTAGCTAGTGAGTAATGGTGCCTCAGGCAAAGCTTCACTTGGGCCTATCACATTTACCTTTGATCCTATGGTCAAAAACAAATTGTTGTGTATAGGATGGTGAAAGTAGTGACCTTAAGACTCTTGTGTTGGCCGATAATCATCAAGTTGTTTTTCGGGACCATTGTGATTCTCAAATCTTAGCTAAGGTTATTGTGGGCCCCCGACTCTGTCTCTTTAGCAATCCCATAACTTGTGTGGTGAGAATTTGAATTGCAAGTCCAAGTCCCGTGCCATTAGTCTAGAACTTGCCCTGAATGTTTGTCTAGGCGAAATCCTAAGTGTAGTTTAACTCGAGATGTGATTATAGGTCTCCTTGATCTGAATGATGCCTTGAAAACTTCCATAGCCTACAAATGATAATATCCCTAGTCAACCCTTTTGAGTCATAGACCTTTTTCTTTTAAAAACGACGATACAAGCCTTTACCCGTTCTAAAAATACCCTCTCTTGGCACCCGATCTTTCCTTAGCACAAGGCAAAAGCATAAGTTTGGGAGGAGAGACGAGGAATGCAACAAAATGGTAAAAGGTACAAAATGAAGAAAAGGAAAGGTAATGAAAAAGAAAAAAATCAAAAAGACAAAAAGAATGATCAATGTAGAAAAAAATGAAGGGATTCAATAAAAGTAAATATATGAAAGGTGTGGAAAGTTGAGAACGGATAAAAAGGTTTGAAATGAACAAGAAAGAGTGACAGTGTATTACTCTAACCCCTTAGAAAGAAGTTAAATGAGTTAAAAAGTCAAGAGAATATGTGCCAAAATGAAGCAAATTGAAGTGTGAAAGGGAAGATGGAACCTACTTAGACCAAACACTTCCTACCCTGAACCAAAAGGCTTCACTATATCTCCACAAAAGCCTTATATGATCTTGAGTTGAATGAAGCTTACATTAGTTGTGACTCACATAAGGGGCAAGCTTATGGTACTTAGAGCCGGACTTGTGACCTTTCTTTGAGAGAGATGAGTGTGTTTCCACTATCCTCGTTCTGTGAGCTACAATCTAAAAGTGAGGTTTGCTTAGAGAGAGTTGAGAATGTGTGAGTTTGGGTTCCACAATGACCAAAGTAGTAGAAGGAGTTTCCCTTGATGGGTTTAGTCAATTCTTGATGCTTTTGTGTCGCATTAAAACCATGGTGCTTAAAAGAGTGAATGTTGTTAATGATTCATTTGAATTGAGGGCAATTGTTAGTCCCAATTGATGCTAGATGAGGTCACTTTAGGTCAGCTAAATTTTCTTGGATTTACTCTCAAGGATGTGGGTCTTATTTTGTTTGCTTGAGGACAAGCAAAAGCTTAAGTTTGGCGGAGTTGATAACTAGGGATTATGGTTCATTTTACACTCCTTCTTACTTGAGTTTTGATTAAAAATGTATACAAAATAGTCCCAAAGGCTTACATGTTGTACTTGTTTGCAGGGTTTGGTCAAAAAGGTGACAATTAGTCAAAACCAGCTCAAAAAGGAGTGAAACATGCACAAGTACCAAGAACAAGTCCAAGCACAGTGCAACAGATCCACTGTGGTCGCATTCCATTTAGTGTGGTCCGCAGTGAGGAGATTCAGAGAGGTGCATATTTTGGAAACTCAAGCGTTGCGGCCGCAAAGCATTTTTTGCGGAATGCAATGGTCTAATCGTGGCCGTAATCGAGTTTGTGCGGTCCTCAAAGATGAGGTTCAGAGAGTTAGGAGTTTTGAGGACATAGCCAATGCGGTCTACGATTCTTTTTGTGCAGACTGCAGAAGAATCTACTGCGGCCACGGTGCTTTTTATGCAACCCGCGGTGGTCAAGTTCAGAGAGCGTAGATCTAAAGGAAAGAAGCCTCACCACGGCCACACTCGATTTTGTGCGGACCGCACTACCCCCTCAGGGGTATTTTTGTACAGAAAATTCAGCCTAGTATAAATACTTTCTTTTCCTATTTTTAGGTCATCAGTTGCAATCTAACTTTGAGCTGCACTCGTGAACGGTGGTTTTTGACCATTTTGAGTCATTTGTAGCTACTTTAACACTGAAGTTTCTTTATCTTAGTTTGTAATTAAATCTTATGGGTAGTTCTTCATCTATTTCTTCTTTTTCTTTCATTATTATGAGTAGCTAGACCCATTAGCTAAGGTTGTGGCTCAACCCTAGTGTGGGTATTTGGTGGTCTTGAGTTTTAAGGCTTGAATGTCTATGGATGTTTGATATTTGGACTAATTTGTGTTTTTCATGTTGAATTAGTGGTTGCAAACACTAAATTGTGCCTTTTTGACTTGTGCTCTTCTTGAGAAAGAGAGTTTGAGTCTAGAAAAATTAGTACAACATGGAATTGGGGCGTATTTAAGAGATTGATAGCTCCAATTAAAGAGTTAAACCTAGAGATAGTAATACCCCACTTGAGCCTAAATTGCTTGCACAAATTATCATACCCAATTGGTCTTGAGAAAGTCAATTAGGGCAAAATCACTCAAACTATCGAGAGTTATAGAGTTACAAGTTTAGTGCATTGTTTATATCGTAATCCCCAACATGACAACCTTTCCTTAGATTCGAGAACCCGTCAAGTATTCACCTAGGAGAAAGTCATTTCCCTAGTGTCTCTTTAACTATTTAGAACACCTTACAAGCAATCATTCGCAGTTTAATTTAGCATACTATTAGCACAAAATATTAGAAGTAAAAACCAACCAAAAGATGGTTGGAAGAGTAATTAAGAGCATTACGCATCTCTAGTTTAGATAAGAATCCAATTCCCACTTTTAGCTCCCTGTGGATTCGATCCAGACCATCTCGGGTAGAAGCTGCTTCATCCACTCTCGCTACTTTGTAGTGGTGCAGGGTTGGCTCCGATCACTGACCATCGCTATAAAATCACAGGCCTTCAAATACTTCGAAATTACTTCCAAAAGAACTGGTTAAACATGCTACCCTCGACATAGGCAAAAGAGCTTTGACCATGTCAGCTCCAAACTATAGGCTTCGAAACATTCAGCCACCGAGCAAAACCTCCCGAGGTACTCGTTCATCGCTACATAACGACTCACAATCGAGGCTCTTAGCAAGCCGTCGAAGAGTCGGGCGAACACAAAAATTCAAAATCTTTGACGAGGGAAAGCAAAGCCTAAAAAGGTCGCACCGATCCAACGCGTAAGAGCCACTGTCGCCAGCCCATATGAGAGGTCGTACTGACCTAACGCGTAAGAGCCTAAGGGCCAGCTTTAAATTCAAAAACTTAAGGGCAAATGAGCTCAAGTCAAAACCCAAATCGGAGATCGAGCCCAAAACAGTTAACTAAAAGAGCCTAAGGGCAAACGCGTAAGAGCCACTGTTGCCAGCCTAAAATCAAAGGTCACACTGATCCAACGCTAAGAGCCACTATCGCCAGCCTAAAATCGAAGGTCGCACCGACCCAACGCGTAAAATCCAGGACCGGTCTCTAGACCTAAGGGTCGGTAAACCAGCGTCGAGGTCCCGACATGGGGCTTGGGCCCCGAATATTCAATCTTCAACCGTTACGAATCGCTCAGCAATAGCAAAAACCCAAGAGTCTAACCCAAGGTCTAAGACCTCAGACCGAGTATCAAAAAACACTACACATTATTCCTGAAAGACCAAGGAAAAAAGAAGTGATAAAAAATGAAAAGCCTTCTATATATATTGCTCACAAAAGCACGTTTACAAGGCCTTTAAAAGCCCTTACAAGGAAGAAGTTAAACAGAACGCTAATCTATTATCGGGTCTACACCTTCGACAGCTCTATCGGAGGTTGTGTCCTAAAGGTTCTGGCTACGGCCCCAGGACCTTCGACGGCCTCTTTCCCTCTAGGGATTCTGCCTTCATTCTCATCATCTCCTAAAGCTGCTCGACACACCTCCAGAAGCAAACAGGGAAGCATCCTTCTTCTCTAAGGTCTTCACCCTCTCAAGCTCGGCAGACAGGTCAATGCCCCCCACATGTATATCCTCAAGAGTCTACCTCCGAGATTCTAATCGAGCATGCTCCACGGCTCGAGTCAATTTCAGCTTGGCCCCCTCGGTTACTTTCCTGGATTGAGCATTTATTACAACGACATCCTCTTTATGCAAGGATATAAGCGCCTCGGCTTCACTTTTGATCCTAGATAGCGCAGCAACTAACTCAGTATGGAGACCTCTACTCGCATCATGAATTTGGTGCCCGACTAAGGCCATCTCTCCCTGGAGGATATCCCTCTCGAAAGTTATCTCTCTCACGTGTCATTTGAGTTCGAGAATTTCAGAGTCTCTAACTCGGAGCTCCTCCCTCAGTAGGGCATCTTTCTTCTCAAACTGCACAAATCAGATCAAAGCTATCAAAACGCTGAGATCTGGCAAACATTCAAACAAAAGAAAATTGAAACTAGGTAACTTGTTCGACAAGATGAGTCTTCTAACGCTTGTGACGGGTCATCTTAACTTGAAACTGAGCGAAGGTCTGATTATAAAGTGCCCTGGCCTGGAGCCATGAAAGAGACAAGTTAGAGAGACAAAGATCAGAACGATAGGCAGAATTTACAAAAACTACATGCTCATAATGCCTGTTTATCTCGCTGAATATGAGTGAGGCATCGAGCTCGAGAATTTTCTCAGGTGCGGCTAAAGGCCTCTGAAACGCATCTCTACCTCCGAGGGGCGCCCCCACATTGGAAAGTTCTTCATTCTGGGCATCTTGTGTTTCCTTATGAGGTAAGGTCATCCCCATAGGAGAATCACTCACGTTAGTAATACTGATGGGATCAATCAGGGTCGTCTCTTGTCCTTGCAGGGCTTCAGAACTGGTTTCCTCCGAACCGCCTACCAAATGCGTCTCATCTCGAGGAATATTTTGGCCATCAGCTGGTTCAAGGACATTATCCAATACCTCCTCGGTAGCCTCTTCAGCCCAAGGTTGGACAACGACGGCACCAAGCTCCGACTTGGGAGCCACCATCTCTGCGGTATAAGGGTTGATCGAGTTTTCCCCTCCCTCGGATGCTATCGAATCATTTTTCCCCTCACCTTCAGCTCGGGGACTCCCCGCTACTTCTGGAGTTAAGGCTGTTGGGTCAGCCGTAGGTTCTTCCACTTTGGTCTTCTTAGATTCCAAAGGCTCATTCGACGATTCCCTTTGTCTTTTCTTTCCTTCGTCGGGTTTCGAGGTATCCGCTTCACTAAGAAGAGTTTCCCTCATCAAGGGGACCTTCCCCAGACCTACACAAATGCAAAAGGTAAACATAGAGAATGAGGACGCTATCAGCAGCAGTTCTATTAAAGGGTACGACTATAGCAGGAGTAAAGGCTCACCGTGGTCCTTGGCTTCCCATCGAACTTGGGGCAGATCAAGCCACACGCGCTCAGCATATAGGCAAATCGAATCCAGCCAGTCAACCTAGCCCGAGAGGTCCTTAACCGCGCCAGGGTAAACTGCAATGGATGCATCAGAAGAGGAAGTTAGCGCGTAGGGGGATGTATTTAAAAAGAAGAAAGGGAACATTAAATAATGTATCTACTTACGTTCCATGTTCCACCTTTTGAGGAACGACATTCTCTCTACCGGAATCAGGTCTGAAGTTCTAACTCGGACAAAACGGCTCATCCACCCTCCATTCCTAACTTCATCGATACAAGCAAAAAGGGCCCTCGAAGCTCGATAGTGGAGCTTAATCAGGCCCCCACAGAAGAGTCAGGGACTATACATCCTGACCAGATGATCGAGGGTGAAGGGCATCTCCTCAATCATGTTCACATAATACCTGATCATGTAGACAATGCGCCAGAATGAAGGGTGAATTTGGCCGAGGGTCACTCGATACCATTTGCAGAAGTTGAGAATCACGGAGTCTATCAGAGGCAAGGATGGCCCTACTGGACCAAGGGTAAATGGGTAAGTATACACACTGAAAAAATCGGCCTTGTATGTCGTTATATCCTCCTCCTGAGAAGGGATCTCCTCAAGCACCGCGTCCCCCTAGCGGCAGTCAGTCTTCACCCTTTCGACGTTTGTTATTGAGCTAATATATTGAGACGCAGGCTCGTGTCGTCCTGGCTTTAAATATGGTTTTCGATCTTGAAGTCGGAAGTTGTTGTAAAGGACCTTGGAATACATTCCCTAGCGCGAGGGAGCACTACTGTTTTGCCTTTAGACAAAAACAAGGAAGAGGGGGATACACTTTCCTGAGGGACATAGGTGGAAGTTTTTTCCATTCTCAAAAGATTTCAGAGGGGAAAATAAAATTGCGTTTCAAAAAGAAAACAAAAGGAAAAGGTAGAAAGAACCTTTTTGAGGGCTTGGTGGTGTAGTGAACAATAAAGAGCGAGAGAAAAAGTATTTATAGAGGCCTAACACGCACGTTGGAGAAGGCCAAAGGACAGCCAACCGATGTAATCAATTCGAAGGCTTTTAAGGGTTGTGTGTACGCGACCTTTTGGCACCTCATTTTGTCGTACCAATCATTTGGCAGGGGGTAACTACCGTCATAATGGAAGTATCGAAGGGGCAGGAAATCGAGATCGTTTCTTATCGTTTTACTCTAAGAAACGCGGGGACTATCTGTATACGGGTGAAATCGGGAGGCCCAATTTCATGATCACTGTGTCTTTCCCTTAGCTTCAAAAAGGCCTCGAAGACCCGGGGGCGCAGCTCGAAGTTTTGGCCTCGAGAATTCTCCACACTCGACCTCGATGAAGCATGAGTCGATGGTTATCAAGGGTAAGCATAAAGTTCCCTAGGCATGTGGTCCGAACTGACAATCACCTACAAGAATATTACCAGTTTGTCCCAGACTACTAGGTAGTTGTGCCAGCTACTTTACTTTGTAATAAATACATACATACTATGATGGGGTTACCTCCTCCTATATAAAGGGGACATTTACTATTTTTTGCACGGACAAAAGATATCATTCATACAATATTGAATACACAAGAACTTTCTCTTTGCTCTCTAACACATTTTCTCTCGCCCCCCTTTATTTATATTTATTGCTAGCATTAATCGTGTTCTAATTATTGTTCTTCAGTTATAACTCATTATTGTCCATAAAGAACCACCATCAAATTTATCATAACTGTTAATCCTTCTTCGACTGACCTTAGTCGGACATCCGACTCGACCTCGAGGCCCAGAATACGGAAGCTCAAGGCCCCAATTTCCAGCGATTTGGTTTGATTATTCCACTATTTACAAGCTACTATATTATTTTTTCAATCCCTCACTTAGCATCAATTATCTAACAACTAGCATAAAAATAGATCACATATTTTTAGAACCACAAAATCAAATTTAATTGTTATGACCATTTTCACAGTAAACAAGAATATTTTGTCCAAAGTTGCGTGTACGCATACCTTGGTTTATTTGGGAAAAATCATAATCATGTCAAGCAAACGAGTACACAAATCATGATAAATAGTTTCATACCCATAAAGGATCATATTCGACAAATCTTCCGCCTCTAGTCCTAAAGATTAACCCAACAAACTTCTCTTTTATTAAAATGCTTACCAAACTATCCCAACAATATACTAAGGTGATTCATACAATGGACAGTAAATTAACATTTGAAAGAATGAGCAAGGAACACAAAGCATGCCTAACAAGTAGATTCCAATTTCATATGGCCAAAATGATACCATCAAAAACTCCAATGGGATTGCAACAGAGAGTTCTAATAAGAAATCATGTCATTTAATTAATAAAACAACTAGCACAACCAGTAATCTTCATAAGCCTATATGACTCAAAATGCTTCCATCCAATGAAAATTAATTGTAACTAATAAGACCCTCTCACTTCATTTTAATTTCACAAAGTATTTACATACAAAAGAAGCTTTTAACCATGACTTAGGCCAAAGAAGTATCCCAAGCACTTAAACATAACATCAGGAACTCTCAAAAACCACCGAAAGGCTAAAATCTAAAAAACTAAATATTAATCACACAAACATGATAACGAAAGAAATTGTACGCATGCATTGCCGTTGCACTCTAATAAAACGAAAATAATAATAATAATAATAATAATAATAATAATAATAATAATAATAATAATAATAATAATAATAATAATGTGGTGCTGCTATATTTAATCAAGACAGGACAAGGGTGAAGGAAACAAACGGAAAAAAAATGAAGGAAACTCAAACAGTGGTAGCAGTTCACATGGAACGGCAAAAGGCCAAAATGTACTCAAAAACCAATTGCAGATTCAATATGAAAGTTCTATGAAATTAATATTTGAATACAAGTTAAATTCACTCAAACTGAAATTTTATTAAGGAATAAAATTTAAAGGAAGCTCAATCAACGCAACATAACTTGGTTCAAGGAATTAAACGAAATCCTAGAAGTCACTACTGATTTTAACTTATCTACGCAAATTAGTCTCATGAATCAGTTAAGATAACACATAAAGAAAATTCAAAATAACAATCATTTAAGCACCAAATTATTCCTCCCAAAAAAAGAAGCAAATCCTAAGATTCATGAATCAAAAAACCCAATGAAACAAGAAAACGGACCTTTAAACAAATATATTGATAAACAAAAACCTCCAATAAGCTAGATAATATAGCAACGACGTCGAGCCTCCGTGACGAATCAGATCCGCAAACAAAAACCTTGAACCGGACACCTCACTGATCTCTATTTCTTGTCATTGTTTTAGTCACAAATGGGAAGGAAAGAGTCACTGGAAAACATTAAAGAGAGGGTCACTGATCTTCATGGAGTTCCGCCGGATTTCATGGTATTTCCAGCGAATTTTTGTCTTCCCTGTATACTATCATCAAGAGTATGATGATGTGAGAGAAGAGAAGAGCGGATCTGAAGCTATCGACTATCGTGGTGGCCAACCAGATCTGCTGGTGGCCAAATTCGGTGGTTGGACAGCGAGGGGGAGTTCGGCTGCTTCTTCTTTTCTTGAGGATTAAGTCTGCTGTCTCTTTTGCTGAAGAAGAAGATGTGAAGGCTGCTATCTTTCCTAGGGTTCTTACGGTTAGCTACGGTGTTATATCTGATGGGGTATGTGGGCTGAGGTAATGGGTTGTCTGATTTGGGCCTTTAATGGCTAGATTTGTGCTTAAAATAGGCCTAATTAATCAAAAATAAATGAAAATAAGTAAATATTTTTAAAAATACTACTTTTAAAAGTTGTGCAGGTCAAAAATTACGTGCTTACAACTGCCCCTCTTTGCTTGGAAACACGAAGAATTTTTGGAGCAAAGAACAATAAGCTACATAATTGATGACGCTTATTCAAAAGAAAAGAAAGATGGGTAAAAGATTGCAATCGAGCCCTGGTATCTGAGCTGCCTACATATCCTTGGCTATAAAGGAATCAGACCACGTGTAGTTCAGAAGTGAATGAAGTGATAGAGTGTGTGGAGAGGACGAGAGAGTCGAGTGAGGTTCCGTCGAGGTTCCGGTCTGCGGTCCTATTACTTCATCAAAATCAAAAATGAAAAAGACTAACTAAGCCTGTCAACTATGAGTTACAAGATTCTTATCTATAAGTCTTTTAAAGCTTGATCTTGAGTCTTGAACGATTCTTCATGCAGACTTTGATTTGAACCTTGATGCTTGCTAGCTGCAGGTGTTGATTCATTCTTCCACGGCTTCTTCGGATCACGACAAGACATGCAAAGCTCGTGACTCAGTCATGTCTTGAGCTATCCATATCTTGTCTCTGCTTCTGCATTTTGGATGCACTTTTTTTCTTTTCTTTTATTCTGAATTGAGACTTCTTCTTTTGGTCATCTCGGACTGTCAACTCGCATTCTTGAGGCGAGCTTTTGCTACTTCTAACTTGAATTGAATTTTGAAATGACTTCCCTCGTTCTCCAGGCAGGCGCCTGACACTATAACAAAACAGGCAAAACAAAAGAAACTTTTCTACCCTAGTTTGCACTAGGAAGATTTGTGAGTTGTTAGCAGGACTATAAATCACATATGCTACTGATGAAGGATGCAATGATGAGAGTAAATTAAAGACTCGGCTAGGATATGCGTCTCCTGTGAGTAAAACTAAGAAACTTTGACTAGCAAATGCGTTTGCTAAAAATAAAACCCGGATAACCCAAACTAGAAAGTGCGTTTTCTAGGGATGAAATCTCAATTTAGAAAGTATGTATCCTAAAAGTATTCCTAAAAGACCCAGACTAGGAAGTGCGTCTCCTAGGGGCGAAACTTCAATGACTCAAACTAGGAAGTGTGTCTCCTAGGAATGAACTTAAATGACCCAAACTAGGAAGTGTGTCTCCTATGAATAAAACTGACAAACTTATACTAGCTAGTGCATTTCCTAAGAGTAAAACTAACAAACTTTGACTAGGAAGTGCATCTCCTAAAAAAATATAACAACAATGACTCAAACTAGAAAGTGCATCTCCTAGGGTGAAATCTCAATTTAGGAAGTGCCTCTCCTAAAAGTGTATCCTGAGAGACCCAGACTAGGAAGTGCGTATCCTAAGGGTGAAACTTGGATGAACTAAGCTAGGAAGTGTATCTCCTTGGGGTGAAATCTCAATTTAGAAAGTGCGTATCCTAAAAATATATCCTGAAAAACCCAAACTAGGAAGTGCATCTCCTAGGGGTGAAATCTTAATTTAGGAAGGGCGTCTCCTAAAAGTGTATCCTGAAAGACCCAGACTAGGACGTGTATCTCCTAGGTGTGAAACTTGAATGAACCAAACCAGGAAGTGTATCTCCTAGGGCTGAACTTAAATGACCCAAACTAGGAAGTGCGTCTCCTAGGGGTGAAATCTCAATTTAGGAAGTACGTCTCCTAAAAGTATATCCTGAAAAACCCAGACTAGGAAGTGTGTCTCCTAGGGGTGAAACTTCAATGACTCAAACTAGGAAGTGTGTCTCCTAGGGGTGAAACTTCAATGACTCAAACTAGGAAGTGCATCTCCTAAAACAAAATATAACTTGAAAGACCCAAACTTGGAAGTGCGTCTCCTAGGGGTGAAACTTCAATGACTCAAACTAGGAAGTGTGTCTCCTAGGGGTAAAATCTCAATTTAGGAAGTGTGTCTCCTGAAAGTATATCCTGAAAAAAACCAGACTAGGGAGTGCGTCTTCTAGGGGCGAAACTTCAATGGCTCAAACTAGGAAGTGTGTCTCCAAGGAATGAACTTAAATGACCCAAACTAGGAAGTGCGTCTCCTAGGGGTAAAATCTCAATTTAGGAAGTATGTATCCTAGGGGTAAAATCTGAAAAACCCAGACTAAGAAGTGCATCTCCTAGGGGCGAAACTTCAATGACTCAAACTAGGAAGTGCATCTCCTAGGAATGAACTTAAATGACCCAAACTAGGAAGTGTGTGTCCTAGGGGTAAAATCTCAATTTAGGAAGTGCGTCTCCTAAAGGTATATCCTGAAAAATCCAGACTAGGAAGTGCGTGTCCTAGGGGCAAAACTTCAATGACTCAAACTAGAAAGTGTATCTCCTAGAAATGAACTTAAATGACCCAAACTAGGAAGTGCATCTCCTAGGGGTGATATCTCAATGTAGGAAATGCATCTCCCAAAACAAAAATATAACCTGAAATACCTAGACTAGGAAGTGCGTCTCCTAGGAGTGAAACTTGAATGAACCAAACTAGGAAGTACGTCTCCTAGGGATAAACTCAATTTAGGAAGTGCGTCTCCTAAAATAAAATATAACCTAAAATACCCAGACTAGGAAGTGCATCTCCTAGGGGTGATATGTGATCTTCTCAATAGCCTTAGCATAAGCAGAATTGGGGCATTACATCTGAAAAATTCAAGCTTCCAAGCTTTGATATGAACATAGCCTTCATCACTGTTTCAGACAAAGAAAACTTGTGAGTTTAAAATATGGTGGTTAGTTTGTGGCCTTGACCTTGAAGGTGACTGCTTCTACACTTGCCATGATAACTTTGATTTCAACTTGGAGACCTTGCTTGTTATGTGCTAACCACTTTCTTGTCAACCCTTATCACAAAAAACACATCTGATCCATTCAGGCCCAATACCCTCTATCTATTGCATTGTGCTTATGAATTGACATTTACCAAACCTTTACATTTCACATGAGTTCCAAAGCACGTCAATTGTTATCAACTCAGTGCGCATGCCACTTTCCTAACTTATACTGCTTTGATGTGCTAGCCAGATTCCTTTTTGTGCAATTGGAAAGCTAGTAGAAAATTTTGAAATCATTTATCACTTGTTATGACCAAACGGACTCAAAAGAGGACGTGAACAAAGCAAAAGGAACAGAGTAAGGGACATGAAAAGGGATGATATCTAACTAGAAAATTACAAAGTAGAAACTTATCCAATGTGGATACAAACTCTAATGACCATGACACACACTTTTGGATTAAGTGGTCTAATCTGTCAAGCAAGTCTAATATTCAACTCTTGTTGTACCTCTTCGCCGTGAAACTGGGCTTCAATGCTCCGATTATCCTATCTGATTCACGATCCTTATTCGACTTGTAGTGCCCGAAGGGTTTACACCATCAAGCCTCTCTCATTTTTTCTTTCTCTCAACTCCACGTCACCTTATGGTGCCTATGAAGGTTTTCACCGATACGACTCTCTCATTTTTTCCTTTTCTTCTTATTTCCTCTAATTCTACAAATGACAAGGCATTAACCACGATAGAAATATCATATGCTCCTGGCATGTCTGACTCAACACTCTCAAAGATTATCTGGAAGGTCTTTTGGACTGTAATGTGGCTTTTTGACAGGGTTAAAAAGAAGGGTATCATAAAGGCTCAAAATAACTAAGACAACAGGGTTAATTTATCTACAACTTTTGGAATCCATTATAAAAACTTTTCCCCAATTTCAAAAACAAGGTAATTTGATTCTTTTTTTATTTTTTTTGGAGATGGAATTTCTAAGAAAGACTATCCCACTCTCGACTTCGTGGGATTATGAATATTTTATTAGGTGCGACCGAACCTTAAGGCTGCCTACGTATCTTGTGGTGACAAGAATCAGGTCGAACGTAGTTCAAAAGGATACTTTGTTTTTGTTGCTATTTTTTCTTTTTTCTTTTTTCTTTTCTCTTTTCTTTCTCTTGTTTTTCTTTTTTCTTTGAAATTTCTTTTGCGATGAACTTTCTAAAATAAACCTTTAGGGAAATGAACTTTTTTGTTTTACTCTTACTTGATTCCAAAAGAGGGGACGTCAAAAAAATTAGCATAGGCTCAAAAGGGGTACCAAATGGTATAAAGTGTTTGGGTAGCTGAAAGAGGGTCTTCCAATCCTTGAAAATGTAAGGTACAACACATGCAACTTGAAAATTAAAAATGAAGATCATGTATAGCACTCCTTCTACAGCATCGGCACTGATATCACAGATATGCCTTTCACTTTTTTAGTGCCTTGTCAAGTATAGAACTCTCGTTGGGTGATTTCTTCTTCACGAAGGATACCCTCTGTCTGTTTGGAGCAAACTCCCTTGGCTTTATCTCATAACTTTACATGCACTTGAACTCAAAGTTGCCCACTTCAAATTGTTCAGGATGCACTCTCCTTTAACGAATTCTTGTCATCCTATTAACTTCCTAAATTATCTACCCCAGATTCACATAGTTCGGGCTTTAAATGATCTCAAAATGTCCAAATCTGCACTTATTTCCCTCAAACGTCCTTATCATCTTCAAAATTGCTTCATTGTTTCATAATTAGACTAACTTTTAAGACCAGGACTAGAATTATACGTGTATATCATATCACTAAAGCCAGCATGAAAAGAACTATAAAAGGAAAAGGGAACTAAACAAAAAATGACTAGAAATAACATAAAACAGGAAATTGCATTAGACAGACAGTGAAAAGGTTTGAACAACAAAACAAGTAAAATAAACTAGGGTTATAACCTTGGAACAAACCTAGATAACACTAGACGAGTTACTACGACTAAACAAACTAGGCAAAATAAAAGGATAGAATGGTTTGAGTCACCAGACAATATCTAGATTACAATCCTGAAATAACCCGGACAACATAAATGACAACAAAATAAACCACCAGGACTCCTCCCCGGC